AAAAAAAAAAAAAAAAAAAAAAAGGCTACAGGCAACCTGGAACCAGCAAGTCATTGCAGAGGGCTGTGGCCCATCTGTGTCATTTGCTCCAAATTTATGAGGTTGTACTTTGGCCTCGTTTTTGGGCAGTGTGAAGCAAAGGCCACAGAAGAATACCAAGAGACAGGTATAAGTTATGAACAAAATGGATGGCATTGTGAGGGAGAGGGCTCCCCGTAGACCTGATGATCTACTGGATAAGAGGAGGGGTACGGGAGCCCACATAACAACACTGGCAGCCACACAGCTGTGGTGCGTTGCTAAACGAATCTGGCCAGTTGTTAGAGTGATGTGGAATAGAGTGGGAGGACGGGAGCAAGCTGCACAGCAAGGGGACGCAGTGGACCGGGGGGTACAGCAAGGAGATACAGGGGAGGGGGGAGAGGCGCTGAGGACAGACATGGTCGAGCTTCAGCAGCAGGATGAAAAGCGACAGAATTATGCTGTGCCGGAATTAGAAAGATTGGGGCCGATTGCACAGAAAGAAGAGGCGACGAATGGAAGGAAGGCACTACAGGGTGGCTCGGTCGGGACTCAGCAGCAGCAAGGAGAGCAATCCGGTGCCTTACAAGGATCAGAGAGCGGGGAGGTGGTAGGGCAGACGGACGAAAGGGCCACCCAATCCGCCCATGAGGGGGGAGGGGGGGAGAGGGTGCCAAAAACACCAGGGTGTACCGGACTGGAAGCAGTACAGGCTGCACAGGACCTGGAGGAACATCTATGCAGACAATACACCTTCAGGCCCCCACGAGCAGAAGACCCCTTCCAACAGGCCTTCGGTCCAGAACCAATGGAGGTGGAAGGGCCAGACCCCCTGGCAAATGAGACAGCCACACCGCCGGAAGTGATCATGACCGACCCTACACCAGAGACACACGGGGAGACAGAGGATAGGGTGAAGATCCTGACGGAGTGGCTCTATGAACAATTAAAGGGCCACTATGCACACTTTACCCCACGGGCTACCCCAGCCAGCCAGGTGGCAGGAAACCTGGCACCGGGTCTGGTGCATTGTTCATAGCCAATTCCATTGTTCCCCCCCCACCCGGGTCTGGTGCATTGTTCATAGCCAATTCCATTGTTCCCCCCCCACCCAGAAAGGGAGCAGACCTCGCAGAGAGACACC